CCAGGCTTCAGATCGGCACAGTGCCGGCCGTTGCGGTCACTTGGGGAGTGAACCATCGGACGGAAGATCTTTCTATCTCCTCCTCTCTGGATATCTGACTTTGTAATAAGAATAAATAAATCTTTCAAAAAAAAAAAAAAGAAAAAGAAAAAGGAAAATTAAAAAAAATAATAAAATCACACAAAAATTCTTACCATTCCTAATTTAAGGATATTACAATATTTATCATGTTTACCAAACTAAATGTGTAAAATGATCATTTTTTTACAGCTGCTGCCAGAAATGGCAACTTCATCTATCAATCAGGGCAAGTCATTTAGAGGAACTTGTGGAAAACACATGCATGCGGTCCAGGCAAGGTCAGAACTCAGCCCATCGGACACGGCGTGGGACTGGGCAACGGCCACACTGCCAGATCCAGCAGTGCTGGAGAGAGGACATTACCCAGGCTTGCTGGCTGGCACTGAAGGGGCGACTGCGCAGGTGTCACCGCACGCGGCTTTCCCCAGGAAACTCTTAGATCCCACTGGCATGCAGACACGGAAGCCTTCCAGTCATCTAACCTCTTTCATCACAGCTAGCCTGTGCTTCTCTGCAAACAGTACCAGAGGTGCTGCGTTAACACAATGTGTGGGAAGACACACATCCTACATGCGTCCAGTCACAACAGAGCCACACCTGAACTGTCTGGGCTCGGCTTGAGGACCAGGCTTGCTCTGGAGGCTCACATCACTGGGACTTTTAGTGCACTGAGACCTTGGACACTTGGGAATATTCATAAGCACTGGACATTTTTACTGATTTTTAAACCCAAAACTCTTTTAGCTATCTTGTCTACAACTAATTCAGTAATAATTACTTTATAACTCATCCAGCTCCCTGGTTAAGGCTGAGGAAGCAGCGGAGGCTGCACTGGCACCTTGGAACCCTGCACACCTGTATGGGAGACCTGAAGAAGCTCCTGGCTTTGCATCAGCTCAGCTCCAGCCATTGAAGCCACTTGGGGAGTGAACCAGTGGATGGAAAATCTTTCTCCATATCTCCTTCTCTTTCTAAATCTTTCCAATAAAAACAAGTAACTCTTAAAAACACACACACACACAGATGAAAACAGGTATACAGATGCACTAAAAGGCAGGCGACCAGCCACAAGGCTCAGTATTCAGACTGCCATGCCTGACCCAGGGTGCGGTTTATGGACCGGAAGACTCCAGAGGTGAACCTGGAGGCTCCAGGCACCAGGACCAGAGGCACAACCACCACACGGTGCTCAAGGCCTCACGTCTCAGGCAGAGAGCCAGAGCAGCAAGGGCACGCTGTAGAAGCATTAGGTGACCCCACGAGGCACACACGGGATAAAGTCAGGTCAGAGCCATGAGCTTTAGTGTAGACGTCTGAGAGAAAATAAAGCTGAGGCAAGCAAAAACATTCATTTTGATACGATTGTGGGTATTTCTCCTCCTTCTTGCCAAGCTGTCTTAAGAAGACTAGCCCTTTTCACTCCCCTCCCTTGCCCTTGTTACAAAGGGGCTGAGGTTTGCAACTTCCCTTACAATCCTCCTGAGAACATGCCAACTGAGCTTGGGAAATACTGAGAGAACAAAAGTGACCTTTTAGCTCTCAACCGAAATTAAAGTGGCCACCAGCCACGGGCAGTGCTGGTGCTGAGCCTCCCAGAACCTTAGTTAGGACACAAAAAATACACTTCTATCAGTATACAAAAAGGACAGAAGGCAGTTAAGGTAAGAGATTTTTCAATATAAAAACATTTAAGAGAAACATTAAAATGAAAACTGGAAATCAACTGCTTATCTTTTCCAAACGGGAAGTACTCTTGTTTTGTGCTGGTGTATTTGCCAGTTTGTATTTTGCCAGTTTAATTTTATGTTGCTTTAGTTTGGGATTTCTCTCCAATCTCCTGGGAAGAAAATTTCCCACGTAAAAAAGAACATTCTTTACATTTCATGTGAATGTATAAATTACAAAAGAACCAATTTTACGTAATGTCTCAGAAATAAATACAAAAAGATTCTTGTCACATTATTGAAATAAAATAGTACAATGCCCTTAATTGTGATACTTCCTTAGGTTAGAACATTTACAATCTTTTGAAATCACATGTATACAACAGATTTCAGAAAACACACGGCAGAGGTAGGAAAGAATCTTATGACTATAGTGAACATGACACGATGGTCACCACATTGACAAAACCTGTGGAGTTACAACGAAAATCAACAGGATGAGCCTTGGGTGGGAGCACCACAGGCAGTTTTAATTCCTAATATCATTTAATTTACCACCTAATTCTAGAAAAGAAATTACACTTGAATCTTTTTAAAATGGCAAATAGAGGGCCCAGTGCAGCAGTAGTAGCTGAGATCCTTGCGGTGCACATGTCAGGATCCCATGTAAGCGCTGTTTCGAGTCCTGGCGGCCCCACTTCCCATCCAGCTCCCTGCATGTGACCTGGGAAAGTAGTGGAGGAGAGCCCAAAGCCTTGGGACCCTGAACCTGCATGGGAGACCTGGAGGAAGCTCCTGGCTCCTTGGCTTCCAATTGGCTCAGCTCCAGCCATTGCGGCCACTGGAGGAGTAACCAGTGGACAGAAGATCTTTCTCTTTGACTCTTCCTCTCTGTAAATCTGACTTTCAAGCTTAAAAAAAAAAAAAAAAGGCAAACAAAAGAAATAATTGTTTCAAAGAAGGTAATTCTCTATTTGTACAAGTTACTCCTCTCATGAACTTCAATAATCCTCAGAAACAGCACAATTTCTACTAGTAGAAGGAATTTTAGAAGAAGTTTCACTGACATATTCTACTTGGGAAAACAGCACTGTCTGGTCTTCGAGCAAGTAACACACTCCACAGCCGCTCCACGGGGGCCTCGGAGCAGCGAGCCCAGGACAGCAGCCACTCCTGGCGGAAAACGGAAAACACAGATGCTCACACAGACTCCGGGGTCGCCACCGAGGGATCAGGTTGTTTTGGTCATCCAAGAACACCCCTAGAAACAACGTCTGCATACAGGGATGCAATGGGGAAACAAAATATGTCACACACCACTGGAATGCCACACGGAGTGTAAGAGAAGAATCTACAAACCCATAGGCATGATACGAACGAATAAGGGAGATGAGAGGCGTATTGTCCATTTAAAGGTGGATACTCACTTCCTAAGAGGCAGAGCTGCACATCCCACCACTGGATGGAGGATGGACTGAGCCAAGTGACATGCACTCAAAGAGCAGAGCATGCAAAGAAGCTACCAGTAACTTTGTAGTGGAGAAACTGGTAAGCAAAACTTAACCCACGCATGCTTACCACTGGTCGTGACATCATGTGGCACCCGTGTGGGTTTTGAAAGGATGCTGGAAGGGGGGCATGTCACACCACGACTGTATTATTAAAAAAAAAACCCATACAATAGTCTAGCCATGAGAAAAAAAAAAATCTGAAGACCCCAGAAAGGGCTACAGTCTGTCATGTAAAACAACAGAACAAAGAAAGCCTGAGAAAATGCCAGAGATGAGGGAGACAGGACAACTACACACAACGAAGGGTCCTGGATAGGGCCAAGAAACACACAGGACATGAATGGAAAAGTCTGTGAAACCCGAGCAGTCTGGCGCTGAGCAAGCAGTCACACACCAATGTGCCAGTGAAGGACAACATGCCAACCCTCGGGGCATCCACAGCTGGGCTGAGGGGCGTCACTAAGAAGCATCCGCACTGTCTCTCTAACTTTCCTGGAGATCCAAAATTATAACAAACAAAAGTTTGTTTTAATAAACTCAACCTTGGTACCAAACTAAAAACTTCTGAGTCAAGGAATTAAGAAACTTTCTCTTTTACTGTCTGGCCCAGTAGAGGATGGGGGGCTCTTTCATTTGCTTTTGTGTGTAATCTGTTACCACGCAAGGTTTCAGCTGACCGTAGGAAGAAAATTAGGTTTCATACAGATGGTTAGAAAACGGAGGACTTTAATAGCCTTTCATATAACTTCAAAGATTCTACTTCTATACAAATCTGAATTCCCACAAGTAGTTTCTTAAAGATTGTTCACAACGTGGAATTTGAAGTTATATGATTTTCTACTATATAGTACATTCAGCAAAATATTTTGCTATATCTTGCATTTTGAGTTAATTTGTCAATCCCTTATGAGCTGTAGCATTGTATGTTAACTTCATGCCATTGTACATTTCTACTTTTCTTCCTGTTGCTGATTTTGTGTTGTGGCTTTTAAGGGGATGTATAGTAACTGTGTAATGGAGACTATCATATCGAGATGTGAGGATACAATACGGTATGCATCTCTACTTCCACATCAAAGATGGATTCTCAATGAAGCTGTTTACTGTATCTTGCAAATAGGATGCTGGACTCCGCCATTGTCCATGACCACAATGATGGACACACAAATGTTCAACGAAGAACTAAACTATAGTAATAATATAGGGGAATCAGTGACAGGGAGGGGATCGGAGAGGGGTAAAAAAATCTCAGAGAACCGTATTATAAAAAGATATTATTATCATCACGTATGTCAGTTTTTCCAAGTAAAAAAAAAAAGCATCAAATGCAAAGGGCAGCTGGCGCAGCCCCACCCGCACACGCGTGCAATGGGCAGAGTGGCCAGCAGCCCTGCCCGCACACACATGCAGCAGGAAGAGCGGCTGGCGCAGCCCCGCCTGCACACACATGCAATGGGCAGAGTGGCCAGCAGCCCCGCCCGCACACACACACGTGCAATGGGCAGAGCTGCTGGCACAGCCCCGCCCGCACACACGTGCAGCAGGAAGAGCGGCTGGCACAGCCCCGCCTGCACACACGTGCAATGGGCAGAGTGGCCAGCAGCCCCGCCTGCACACACGTGCAATGGGCAGAGTGGCCAGCAGCCCCGCCCGCACACACGTGCAGCAGGAAGAGCGGCTGGCACAGCCCCGCCCGCACACATGCTTCTCCAGGTCAGTCCACAGAAGAAGCACTCCATTCAAACTATGAAATTCATCATAGAAAATGGATAAAATCCACACATGCTTTAAATAAAACGATTTTGCTGCTTCATCAAGGACATTCTGAAGTAAAAGTGGTCTTTTATCCCTCGTAGTACCTGCAGCCATTGTGTCAGCAGTTTTCCACCCTAATCCTTTCATATAATCATTCACAAACAGCAGTTGTGAAAAGAGCAAATAACATCTTAGCATTATTGTCAGGAAGATAATTTTGACCTCCAGGGTTTTTACTGAGAAAGGGAGACTGAAAGAGGCGGAAAGGGTCTAGGACAGGCCGTCCACAGCCAGCAGAGGGCTGTGGAGATGAGAGAGGGTGGCTGCAGGGAGAGAACGCACCACAGGCCAGTGACCAGCTGGGAGGCCAGCAAAGCTCCACACTGGCCAGTCTCCCCTGCACGCACTGGGAGGACAGTCCAAGCCCAGGGAAGCAGCAAAGCCCACAGAACGAGCTCTGCACATTCCCGACAGGACAGCTCTGTCCCAGGTGTGTGCTCGGGCAGAACACTCACCTACAGAGGAGTCCGAGTTACTCTGAAGCTCCTTTCTCTTTCCTTGACAAGCAATCGTGAAGTTGAAATCCAAGTTCTCAACTGTTGGGGGTAACTTACATGATCCCCCAAGAGCAAGCTCTTCTGGAATATTAAAGAAGATGAGGAGAACTGAAGCACCAATATCATCTTCCTCCCTGAATCAAAATCTCTTCACATTCGGTGGTTAACTCCAAGTTTTGAAATGTATTTTAAAAGAAAACCCACCTGGGCCCGGCGCGGTGGCGCAAGTGGTTAAAGGTCCTCGCCTAGCACGCCCGGGATCCCATATGGGCGCCAGTTCTATCCCGGCAGCCCCGCTTCCCTTCCAGCTCCCTGCCTGTGGTCCGGGAAAGCAGTCGAGGACGGCCTAAGGCTTTGGGAACCTGCACCCGCGTGGGAGACCCGGAAGAGGCTCCTGGCTTTGGATCGGCATAGTATCGGCCCGTTGCGCTCACTTGGGGAGTGAATCATCGGACGGAAGATCTTCCTCTCTGTCTCTCCTCTCTGTATATCCGCCTTTCCAATGAAAAAATAATAAAAATAAATCTTTAAAAAAAAAAAAAAAAAAAGAAAACCCACCACTAGCTGTTACAGACACTGTGGTTCAAATGAGAAAACTAGAGCACAGCCAGGAGATGAAAGCACCGAAACTAAATCTACAGGAACGGTAACTGCAACGCGCTTCCTAATAGAATACCTGCATGTGTGACAAGTACAAAGTGTTCTGGAATAAAGACCGCTGTACACTCAGCTCACTTCCAAATGATTCAAAAACTACTGTGCATTTACACGTACACATCCATGTAATATGTATAAACATATGCATACCTATTTATATAAACAGCCAAGGTGGAGGGAGAATCAACAAGAAACACAGCAAATGCGGTAAAATGTCACCAAAAGGTGGCTCTGAGAAAAGGGTATTCAGGCATTTTTTGGTACCATTTTTATTCTTGCAACTCTTCCAAAAGCTTGAAAGTATTTCCAAGTAAATAAAAGAAGGGCTACCACATGAGTATTTGCAATGGAGCCCTAGTTGAAGGCTTTGGGCGGTGTGTGGAACGAGCCAGCTTTCCCACGAGGAGCTAGGTTAATACAGCATGAATTAATCCCACACTCAACAAACAGCCGTAACTGCTTATCAGACTCCTGTGCAAGACCCAGCGATCTAAGCTGACCCCCAAAAAGAGTTCAACCAAGCCCCTGCTCATAATCTATTACAGTTAATCTGAATTAAGGCAATAAAAATATCACGTAGACTCTTCCGAGGTTTTAGGTCCATTGCCCTGTTTTCCTTGTGAAACCAGAGCAGCTCAGTCCTGCAGTGCTGCAGGGGACTGGGCGAGCAGGGCACAGGGAGAGCAGAGAGCTCCTCTCCACAGCCCTCGCTCCGAGCCCACCGTGGGACCACAGGGGACGGGGCTCCAGGCCGACAGCAGAGGCGACAGGCGCCAGAGAAACGGCTCTGCAATTTCTCCTCAGTTTACCCAAAACACAAGGGAAGGGCAGGAGCAAAGCAAAGGCTAATCAACAAGGGGAAGCAACAAACCTAACAGCTCCAACCACACTGGCCTCAGTCCTCCCAGACTGAGGCTCTGAGGCTCGGACGGCCAGCCTCGTTCTCGACAAGCAACATCCTGCCTGTCACTGATTTTGCTTTTCAAAATCCTTGGGAGAACATAATCTTCAACTTGAATCATCTGTTTCAAAATTTCAAACAATATTCTCTAACATCTGTTCACATCAGTTTCACTTTGTTGTATTAATGTAGCATTTACCTCCCTCAATATGTAATCAAGCCTGGACACAAACTGGCCCACCAACCTCTCTCTGCAATCCTACATTACCACACAACATCTCTATAAAAACAGAAGATAAAATGTTTTAGTGTTTGGGAAAAATGAACAAGTAGCAGTTCCTTTCGCTCCGGACTATTTTACCAGTCTTTATCTCATTCACCAGCATGTTGCCACAGAATCCCGAGCACAACTGTTCCTCTCCTTAACAGACAAGGATACTGCTAGGCCATGTTATTAGAGTGATTCTCTGAGACACAGAAGTGTACATAGGCGATCCCTCATGCTAACAGCAGAGGTGAACAGGACATGGTAGGGGTCGTAAGGAAACGAGGGGCAACCGGCCCAGACAGAGCCTTGTGGATAAGCCACCAGCATGAAGACCCAGCCAGCAGGTGTGATGGAGACTGTGTGTGCACTCCAGCAGGAAGCCAGTCTGTTTCATCTGCTCCTCACTCTGCTTCCGCTCCTGCTACCAGCTTACTGCTCTCTCATCCTATTACCTTTTGATTCACAGAACCTCTGAAATCAGATGAAAGAAGCTTGTGGATTCTGTCCCCAAGATAAACCTGCTTATACTCAAAAGTGTGTGAGCAACTGCAAACTTGATGCATCCATGTTTATGAAGCCCAGGCCCTTTCTTTATTTATTTCAAGATTTATTTTCATTTTTTATTGGAAAGTCACATATACAGAGAGGAAGAAAGACAGAGAGGAAGATCTTCCATCTGACCATTCACTTCCCAAGTGGCCACAATGGCCAGTGCTGTGCCAATCTGAAGCTGGGAGCCTGGATCATCTTCTGGGTCTCCCACACAGATGCAGGGTCCCAATGCTTTGGGCCATCTTCAACTGCTTTCCCAGGCCACAAGCAGGGAGCTGGATGGGAGGTGGCATAGCTGGGCTATGAACCGGCGCCCATATGGGGTCTTGGCGCATGCAAGGTGAGGACTGTAACCACTACACCACCAGGCCAGGCCTGCCCAGGCCCCTTCTTACTGCTCCTGTGGGCAGCTCTCTGAATGAACACATAGACCACTGCGCCTCCCCACATACTCAATCCCCTTAAAACGATACCCAAACTCCCTTAAGAGAGGCAGTCCAGTTGGTTTGGTCACCCTTTTTCACTGGGCAAAGCTTCAATTAGGAGCATGGAAGGCTGTTGATCTATCCCAGACTCACTGGTCTCTGGGTCAGACACAGGTCCCTGGAGAAGTACAAGCATGCCGACCTAAACTCATTTTCTTCACCAGGGGAACAGTGATTTCCCTCAAACAGGGATGTGGGCATGGCAGACAGGGACTGCCCATAGAGGGCAAACATGACACAAAGAAATGGAAGGACTGCTGTAAACCACGCTGTAGGCTGCAGATTAATTTCAAGTTACAAACCCACTAGGCACACACTCAAACACACACACTGGCTGAAAGGATGTCGAAAACACTGACAAAAGTGAGTCAGATGGAACAGTGCGGTCCAGCGGTGAGGAACAGAGGCACAGATGGCAGGAGGTGCCCACCAGGAAAGAGGAGCATCGAAGGGCAGCGAAGGCACCAGGACAACCCTCACTGCGGAAACGGCCCCGGATGCTGCTGCAGGATGAGAGCAGCGCTGGGGGCTGCAGGTCACCTGGCAGCGGAGGCTGGGCTGCCCGCCCACCTCTCAGCTCCGTTGGCCAGGCCCACGAGGCTCCCTAACGCTACAAATTTAGACAGGTGCTTCAAAGCAGTCAGCTTGCAATGATCACACAGCTGTTTACTTTTCACAGAAAAGGATGAAGATGTTATAACAGAGAAATGTAGATGCAAGATGGAGAAAAGAACTCAGCTGTGGTGGTGTGTCCTGAGCCGGGGGCCAGGGAGAACTACAGACAACATCACAGCCAATACTGAGTGAGAGCAAACGGAAGTGGAACACTGCACTTCTCTAGCACAACTCAGACCTCCCCACACTTGGCAGGGACATGAGAGCATGTGGGTGAAGCTCGAGTGACACAGCTTCCCGTCCTAAAACGCATGTGCCAGCACGGAGCTCTGTGCTGGAAACAATGGACTGAATCTGGGTGCGAGTGAAATTAGTCCAAAGCATTTAGATACTGAGATGCTGCCAAATTTTTTTTTTTTAATATCACACGGAAAATTATGATTTAGAACATATCTTGGGAATTCTAACCTTTGCTGTTACGGCTGCTGCTTTGGAAAAACATCCAGAAGTGTGGATATATCTCACTCTACCGAAACATGAAGTGCCTTTAAGCTAACAAGCTGGGATTTCACACCAAAGAAAATCTAAGGCAGCCTTACAGGCATCAATGAGTTGATGGCTGCCTGGGGTCATGCGTTACTGACAAGAAACTGGTCTCTAGTGGGCCGTACAGGACAATTTATTTAAAGGTTGTTACTGTGAGCTCAAAATTCATCTTCCTGTGAATTCCTTTTTGACAGGAAGACTCAAATTAACCAGAGCAGCTCTGTGACAGGAAAGCCCCACAGATGCCCACAGCAGGTCTGGAAGTCCTGAAGCAGCATCTCCAAACATCAACCCAGCTGCCATTTGAGCCAGACACATCCTGGGCACTGCAAGCTGCTGGGCAGAATCCCTGCCCTCTGTCCAAGACGCCAGTAACACACACACTCCAGGGCCAGTGCCCCAGTCACAGCAAATCAAACTACCTCTGGATCCAGGGGGAGGAGAGCAGCACTGTGCCCAACTGAGAACCAAGGAGGAGTGGCCTGCTCTCTCATCTCCCTGCCATCCAGCAGGCTAACCTGTTGGCTCAGAAAACAAATCATTGGCATTTTGTTAGCATGGCGATTAGGTATGCAAGTTGACATTAGCTGGTTATTCAAGTTTTATCACGACTCCGTAGAAAAGGTCTGACATAAAATGGCCCTTACTTAATTTGATGCTCTGAGCCCCAGGACAGCCTCAAAGCTACCCCTCACTGTGGTACCCTCCCAGGAGCCTATCAGGGCCCTCCAAGGACTCTTGCAGCACATGAGACACTTGTTCCCGCGGCCCTTACACTCTATGAGGACACAGTGTACAAGGCACCATCTCGGAAGCAGAAAGCCAAATCTGCAGGTACGGGGAACTTGGACCTGTCAGTCTCCAGGACTGGGACCAGGTAGTGTCTCTCGTTTATAAATTACTCAGTCATATTTTGTCATAGGAGCACAAAATGCACTGACAGGAATAATTCAAAATTTACCTACTTACATGTAAACTTTTAATTTAGATGCAAGTCACAGATATGTTATAGAGTGTTACTTCTGAATGACAAATGTTCTACGTCAACTATTCACAATGCTTAAAAAGGAACTGAAGAAAAATGCAACAGCAAGAGTATTTCCACTGTTCATCTTTCTGACAATTCAAATACTATGGCTTTCTCATTACTTTAAAAAGAAACAGTCCTTTAATAATCCTGTATTTTACCATTACTGCCAAAACTATGAAAGATTTATTCTGTAGAAATGCCAAATAATGTCACTTTATTTGACAAAGATACACACTTCCCCCTAATTGGTGGCCAAATGATTCATAACCCTGCTACTCATATCTGCCCATCCCGAGAGATATTGAACATTCACTATAAAGCCAAGGATTGCTGCTGTGAGCTCAAATTCTATTGTTTTAGAATCTAACAAAACAGGTGGCAGCCCTGTGGAAACTACACTGCAGCATCCCATATTAGAGGTCCAGGACAAGTCCAGGCTACTCCACTTCCAACCCAGTTTCCTGCTGATGTGCCAGAGAAGGCAGCAGAGGATGGTCCAAGCATCTGGGCCCCTGACCCGCATGTAGAAGTGGATGAAGTCCCATGGCCCCGGCGTTGACCTGGCCCAGACCTGGCTGCTGCAGCCATTTGGAAAGGGAAGCCAATGCGAGAGCGAGTCTCTTTCTCTTCACTATGCCTTTCAAACAATTTTTTAAA